CATGAAGAAGTGACCCAAAATGCCCACAGTCTCCACTTCTGTCACATTATCTTCCTTTTCCCAGTCTGCACCTATGGTCTCCTGGGGAGTTCCTTACCATACTTTAACTGAAGAACAAAAAGGTCTTGCTTGGTTTATGGATGGCTCTGCATGATATGCAGGTGCCACTCGTAAGTGGACAGCAGCAGCACTACAGCCCCCTTTCTGGGATCTCCCTAAAGGACAGTGGTGAAGGGAAATCCTGCTAATGGGCAGAACTTCAAGCATTGCACCTGGCCGTTCAGTTTGCCTGCAAGGAAAAATAGCCAGATGTGAGGCTGTATACTGATTCATGGGCTTTGGCTTGTGGTTTGGATGGATGGTCAGGGAATTGGAAGGAACATGATTGGAAAATTGGAGACAAAGAGGTGTGGGGAAGAGGTATGTGGATGGACCTCTCTGAATTGGCCAAGAAAGTAAAGGTAATTGTGTCTCATGTGAATGCTCACCAAAGGGTTACCTCTGAAGAGGAGGACTTTAACAATCAAGTGGATTAGATGACACGTACTGTGGAGAATGGTCCTCTTTCCTCGGCCACTCCTGTTATCACACAATGGGCACATGAACAAGGTGGACATGATGGCAGGGATGGAGGTTATACATGGGCACAGCAACATGGACTTCCACTCACCAAGGCTGACTTGGCCACCGCCACTACTGAGTGTCCAATTTGCCAGCAGCAGAAACCAACATTGAGTCCAAGATATGGGACCATTCCTTGGGGATATCAACCGGAAACTTGGTGGCAGGTTGATTACATAGGACCACTGCTATCATGGAGGGGGCAGCATTTTGTTCTTACTGGAATAGACACCTACTCTGGATATGGATTTGCCTACCCTGCACGCACTGCTTCTGCCAAAACTACCATTCGTGGACTTATAGAATGCCTCATCCACCGGCATGGCATCCTACATAGCATTGCTTCAGATCAAGGAACTCACTTCACAGCAAATTCAGTGTGGCAACGGGCCTATACCCATTGAATTCACTGGTCGTTTTATATTCCTCATCATCCTGAAGCAGCTGGCTTGATAGAACGAAGGAATGGGCTCCTAAAGTCACAATTACGGCGCCAACTAGGTGGCAACAACTTGCGGGGCTGGGGAAATGTTCTCCAGGAAGCTGTATATGCTCTAAACCAGTGGCCAATATATGGTGCTGTGTCTCCAACATCCAGAATTCATGGGTCCAGGAACCAACAGGTGGAAGCTAGAGTGGCACCACTCACTATTACTCCTAGTGATCCACTTGCAGCATTTTTGTTTCCTGTCCCAGCAACCCTGTGTGCTTCAGGCCTGGAGGTCCTGGTCTCGAAGGAAGAAACTCTCCCACTTGGAAACACAGTATGGATTCCACTGAACTGGCAGCTGAGTATGCCCCCTGGAACTTTGGACTTCTCATGCCTTTGGGTCAGCAGTTCAGGAAGGGTGTCACTGTACTGAGTGGTGTGATTGATCCTGATTACCAAGGAGAAATATATGGAGGTACATAATGGAGGTAAAGAAGAATATGTCTGGAATCCAGGAGATCCCATAGGCTGACTCTTAGTGCTACCATGCCCTGTGATTAAAGTAAATGGTAAGTTATAGCAACCCAACCCTGATAGGACATCTAATGACCCAGACCCCTCAGGAATGAAGGTCTGGGTCACCCCACCAGGCAAAAAACCACAGCGAGCTGAGGTGCTTGCCGAAGGCAAAAGTAATACAGAATGGGTAATAGAAGAAGGTAGTTCTACCTATCAGTTAAGACCACGTGATCAATTGCAAAAGTGAGGTTTGTGATTGCCAGTGTATTTTCTTTATATGTGCTTATTGAATATCTTTCCTTTGTTCATGTATGATATATCAGATACAGTTGGACTCGGTGTGTTGCCATCAATCTGTATGATAGATGTTTGATGTTAAGTATAAGTGTGATTTCATTAATGTCTGAAATTATATATGGCTAAAGAATCGGGTGCAGGTGTAAAGTTGGAAAGGGGTGGATTGAGATAGTTAATGTTTATTGTGCCAACATGGCCATTGAACACATGTGGGAGCCTCGCCTTTCTTGTCTCTTGCTCTTTGATCATTGGACCAGTGTGCAGGTGCGTTGCTTGTTCTGTGTCACAAGCTACACTACCTGTGGGACACCTCCCCCGTATACTGTGTCACTGTAATTTGAAGTTCCTTCAAGACCTGTTTCACCACCCTATTGGAATATACATCTCTTGAGCTGGGGACTGTCGCATCCTGTCATCTGGCTGACTGTTGGTGACCAATCTGCCTTGCTGTTTGCTCCCTGTGGCTGGATAGCTTGAATTGCTCTACAGAGGACTACCTGGTGGCCTTCAAGACTTGAAGGACTTCCAGTGTCTCACAGCTGTCTCACGGGAGTGAGTTGCATGGAGCCATTTATACTGCTTTATAGATTAATTAACTGTTTATTTGTTATGTTATAAATATAAATATATATATATAATTATTAGCATTCTGGTTTTGTTTCTCTAGAAACCCTGTCTAACATAATGCAGATTACACATCCTGGCTTGCTGAAAGTAAGGAGGACTTGAAGCACTTTCTGATGAAGATCCATACAACTGAATGTAATGAAGACTAAAATCCTGGTAACATCATGATAAATGGAAGAAAGATTATTTCGTCTTGCTTGGATCCATAATCAATACTCATGGAAACAGCAGTCAAGATATCAAATGGCACATTGCATTAGGTAAATCTGCTGCACAAGAGCTCTTTAAGATGTTGAAAACCAAGGATATTACTTTAAGGACTAAGGTGTGCCTGACCCAAGCCATGGTATTTTCAGTAACTTCATATGTATGTCAAAGTTGGACATTGAATAAGGAAGACCGAAGAAGAATTGATGCATTTGAACACTGTCAAAGTTGAACATTGAATAAGGAAGACCGAAGAAGAATTGATGCATATTGTTGGTTGGCTAACAATATTGAAAGTACCAAAAGAAGAAACATCTATTTTAAAGGAAGTACAACCAGCATGCTCTTTAGAGGCAAGGATGGCTAGACTTTGGCTCAAGTACTTTGGACATGTTATCAAGGAGACCAGTCTCTGGAGAAGGACATCATGCTTGGTAAAGTGGAAGGGCATTACAAAAGAGGAAGACCCTCAACAAGGTGAATCGACACAGTGACTGCAGCAAGGGCTCAAGCATAAGAACAATAGCGAGGAGGGGTAGTGTTTTGTTCTGCTATAAAAGGGAGCGCTGTCAGAACCAACTTGATGGCACCTAACAACAACAAATATTATGTAATAAATTTCTCAAAGTAGAAAGAAAAGAGAGAGGTGACATCGAAGCCAGAAAGGTTTTTGGTTTTTTTTGGGTGGTGGTGGTGGTGGTGGAGATTGTGTTTGAAAGTATCAAATACAATAGAATTCCTCAGCAAGATGAGGCCTGTATGAAAGCCCTAGATTTGGTGACTTGCAGCACATTGGTCAACTTGGAAGCAGTCAATAAAATGGGGAAGGCTGAAGCCAGATCATAGCATAGGAAGGATTTTGCTATAAGGAAGTCAAAACTAGGCACACATACAAATCTATACCTGATAGTATAGTGGTTATGTGTTGGGCTGTGATTCGCAAGGTCAGTAGTTCAAAACTCTGGCCAGCTCTGTGAGAGAAAGATGGGGGTTTCTACTCCCATAGAGAGTTTCTGTTTCAGAAACTTACAGGGACGATTCTACCCTGCCCTTTAGGGTCACTATGTGTCTGCACCGACTCAATAGTAGTGAGTTTTGTCTTGAGTTTATTTGTATATCATAAAGACCACTTCTCCAGGGGAGACCACACCTTATTGGTGGAAAGTTTCTTAAATGAGGGCAAGACAAAGAGGACTGAATAGGCCATCCCATGTGTCAGTGTCCTATGGTCACCCTAATTGAGTGTTCAGTGCACTACAATGGAGATTCTTGACCAAGAGAAGCTAGGGGTTTGTCTGTCTAGAAGAAAATGATTTCACTTTAGTTGATGGGGATTGGGTGTGGGGAGGGCTTTCCCTTTCAGAAAAGATTTAGCATAGTTTTTATGGACCCTCCTGTATTATATGGCTAATCAAGCATTCTTATTCTTATTCTCCTTTTTTCTTTTTTTGATTGAGAGGGTTGGGGAGCACCAGGGAATGTCCACTTTACTCTTCCTGGGCTGGTTTTAAAGTTTTATTTATTTTTTTCTTTTTCATAGTGCTGTTGCTCTTGCTGCTGGCAGCCGCCGCCTCAGGTCCACTGCTGGTGGGTTCCCCCTTCAGGGAGAGCTTCTTCTTTTCTTTGGGATGCTCCAGACGTTTGCTACCTCTTGAGGATTGCATGTAGGTTCCTCTTTGGGGAGAGATTTCTATTTCTTCCTCTAGAGAAGAGCTATCTCTTCCGGATCACTACTGACTAACTTCTTCTTAGATCACTTTTTCTTGGGTTTGGGGAGAGCAGAGCTAGCTTGGTCTTCCAATCCATTTTCTTGTGGAGCCTTCTGGGGTCTCTGCTTTTTCTTCTTTGGGGGCCTTTCCCCAGTCTCCTCACACTCCTTAGGAGCACTGCTGTTTTCCTCGAGACGCAAGTGCAGCCAGTTGCTTCTTTTCCCATTTCAAGCATTTCTTCTCCAGGTTTGCCAGTTTCCTAGTTATCTCCACAGCCTCTTCCTCAGCCTGAATCATTGCCTCCTTCATCACATCCAAATTCTTCCAAGGGACCTCTCCAGTCTCTTGGAAGGATAGCCACCCCTCGACTTGCTCTCAAAGCTTTTCCAAAATACACTATGGGCACCTCAGAGAAACAATTGATCTGACATGTAATACTGCATTTGTTTGCCAGGTATCAGGATATGGGGTCTTTGTTCATGGCAGTTGCTACACCAATGAAGGTGGAGTTGAAAATGAGTCCGTATTCAGGGGTGTTTCCCCTGGTCTTAAGGGCTCTGGAAGCTTGGTTCCTTTTGCTGGGCCCTGGGAATCACTCAGACACCAGGGCTGACCCATCACTCACATAACAGAGGCATGTATCTGTCAGGGAACCTGGCCAGCCATCACTGTGATAATCATACATTCTTCTTCTTCTCCTTTTTTTAATATATTTTCTTTTTTAATCATTTAATTGGCGGCTCATACAACTCTTATCATAATCCATCCATCCATCCATCCATTGTGTCAAACACATTTATTGCCATCATCATTTTCACAACATTTTCTTTCTACTTGAGCCCTTGGTATCAACTTCTCAATTTTCCTTTCCCTACCCTTCCCTCCACTCCTCCCTCATGAACACTTTATAATTTATAAATTATTATTTTTTATGTCTTACACCTGTGGTTCTCACGCTTCCTAATGCTGCAACCTTTTAATACAGTTCTTCATGTTGTGGTGACCCCCAACCATAAAATTATTTTTGCTGCTACTTCATAACTGTAATTTTGTTACTGTTATGAATCATAATATAAATATCTGATATACAGGCTATGTTTTCATTGTTGTAAATTGAACATAATTAAACATACTCAAAGCATAATGATTAATCACAAAACAATATGTAATTATATATTGTGAAATATTTATGTGTTTTCTGATGGTCTTAGGTGACCCCTGTGAAAGGGTCATTCAACCCCCAAAGGGGTTGCAACCCACAGGTTGAGAACCACTGTCTTACATTGACCAATGTTCCCTTCACCCACTTTTCTGTTGTCTATCCCCCTGGGAGGGGGTTATATGTAGATCATTGTAATCAATTCCCCCTTTCTCCCGCACCTTCCTCTTACCCTACTGGTATAGCCACTCTCAATATTGGTCCTGAGGGGTTTATCTGTCCTAGATTCCCTGTGTTTCCAGCTTTTATCTGTACCCGTATACATGCTCTGGTCTAGCTGGATTTGTAAGCTAGAATTTGGGTTATGATAGTGGGGGGGGGGGCATTAAAGAACTAGAAGAAAGTTGTATGTTTCATCAGTGCTATACTGCACAGCAACTGGCTCATCTTCTCCTGGTGACCCTTCTGTAAGGGGATGTCCAATTGCCTACAGATGAGGTTTTGGTCTCCACTCCACACTCCCCTTCATTCACAATGATACGATTTTTTGTTCTGGATCTTTGATGCCTGATACATGATCCTATCAACACCTCATGATCACAAAGGCTGGTGTGTGTATCTTCAAGCCTTTAAGACCCCAGATTCTATATCTTTTCATAGCCGGGCTCCATCAGCTTTCTTCACCACATTTGCTTATGCACCCGTTTTGTCTTCAGCGATTGTGTCGGAAAGGTGAGCATTATGGAATGCCAGGTTAATAGAACAAAGTATTCTTGCATTAAGGGAATACTTGAGTGGAGGCCCAATGTCCACCTTAATACTAAACCTATAAATATATGCACATAGATCTATTTCCCCATCCTCATATATAAATATATGTACATATGTACATGCCTGTATTTAGACCTCTATAAATGCCCGTTGCCTCATAGCTCTTTCCTCTATTTCTTCTGACTTTCCTCTTGCCCCACTATCATGCTCAGCCTTCATTTGGGTTTCAGTAATTCCTCTGGGTTACATTACCCTTGATCACACCCTACCATGCCTCTTACACCCTCCTCACCACCGATTTGGATCACTTGTTCCCTTGTCCCTGGGTTTGTTAACACCACTTCCTTTCCCCCCACCTTCCCCTCTCCCATGTCCCCTTGGAACTGTCTGTTCCATTGTTTTCTCCTCCAGATTGTTCATCCACATCTCTACTTCTGTAAAATAGTTTCCTTGAAGAATTTCTGAGACAACAGATGTGAATATTTTTAAGATTCTTGGTTCATATTGATTATTATGTACATTTCTCATAATCTATATATGAATACCAAAACTAAACTTAATGCTATTGAGCTCATTATGATTCATAACAACCCCATATATGAGTGTTCATTTATCTAATTGCATTCTCATTAACATTGAATACTCTTTCAGTTGAGTTTTTAAATATTTTCTAATTTGATAAGGGAAAAATTATGTCAGGTTGGTATCTTTTAAAGTTATACTGAGTATTTTTAAAATCATCACAGAAAGAGGCATAGATAGGATCTGCACCCAGGTGTCTGTATTGGAAGACAACATGGGGACTGGTCAAGATGGCGCCCAAGTGAGCAGCACATACTGAGGAATCTTCCATGAAAGGTGGGTTTAGTGTCCAGGTGGCCTAGTGGAAGGATTATGGTGAGTGAGAGAACCCCCTGGAACAACACCCCATGCATCTGTCCTGAGCCGGAGCCCCAAAGATCTGGGATCTGATCTTTGGAACATCTCGGCTCATCAGGCTGAGCAGCCCCAGCACGCCTTGCCGCCACTGCTGCTGTGATCAGCGATTGACCCACTCCACCCTCAGGCTGGGTCTCCACACCAGGAGTTGCTTGGCTAGCCCACAGAGACACATGCAGCTGTAGCAGGACCCCCTGCAGTAGCTGCCCATTCGTGGTGCTCCACTAGGAGAGAAGTTCCCTTTCCCTCAGTTACCCTATTGCCACATGACAATGATCTGCCCCCAGCTCACGTCCCTCCTTCCATTCTCTCAGGGCCCCTGTAACTTACCTGCAGTCTACCGGTAGCTGGTTAGGTGATTTGTGACTGGTTGCGATCCACCCTCATTGTTGCCTGGCACCCCCATTATTGCCTGGCACCCCCACCTGCCTGCCCATCCGCTCCTGCTCCCTGCCTGGGAGGCCTTGTTGTGGCACACTCTCTGAGCTGACAGCCCTGGGCACACCCTGCCAGCAACACACCCACTGCCTGAGCCCATACCACTTCTACCCATTCCCGGGTGGACCCACGCCATTGCAGTGCAGTGCAGTGTTCCCAGAGCCTGCGGCCTAAATGCTAACCGTTCCTGCCTGTGCAGGAGGCTAGCACCACTGCCTTGTATTTCACGTCAGAGCCGTTTCTGTATGCTCCTGCCCAAGCCACTGCGGTGCCCTGCAGCATTCCCAGCACCAGTGGTGCCAAATGCCTTCTTGCCCCAAGCCCGTTCCTGCTGACATGGGAGGCTGGCACCACTGCCCTATGTTTCCCGCTGGAGCCACTTTTGCCCACTCCTGGACCGGCCTATGCCACTGCAGGGCCCCTTGCTGCCCAGCCCATTCAGGCCAGTGCAGGAGGCTCCCATTCCCTGTGCTTATGCACGCACAGCGTTGGCCTACCAGCTCAAAACTATAGGCCTGCAGGTAACCGGGGGGAGTGCATGCTTGATCTGAAGACCATACATTACCCTCACATAGCCTGGCTTTAGGGCCCTATATCAGCGCCACCTCACATGGCAGCGAGGCCTCCCCCACCTTTGCCTTTTTTTAGGCATCTTTAAAAAATTGGAGGGAAAAGGGGAAACATTTTTTTAATTAAACAAGAAAAAAGGCTGCTAAGTGTGCCCTGACAGACCAGGTCATCACAGGCAGCCCCCTGAAAGCATCCTTAATAGTAACACAGAGAAAGATCTAAGGGCCCCCTTGTCTCCCAGAAACATGGGGCCTACAAAAGGATTGATGAAAAATCAACAGACCACATCACTCTCAACAACAACAACAACAACAAAAAAAAAACCCAGAGAGAAAAAACAGACTAGCTGAGTTAATGATGCTCATAGATAATCAGACATGGACCTGTCACAGAAGGAAATCTTCAGAAGTCTGCTTGAAGTAATACAGGAGCTGAGGGAAGCAATGCATAATAAGGATGCACTAATAGAGGAGATGAAGTCCACAATAGAGGGGATGAAGTCTATGCACCAAAGGGAAATGCAGATGCTAACGGATGAGGTAGCAGAAGCCACACACAAGGTTATAGAATTTACGATTAGGCTTGAGGAGGCAGAGAACCATATCAGTGATCTCAAAGACACTCAAACAGACCTCAGCAAGCGAGAAAGACAGATAGAAAAAGAAGCAGAAGATAACCTGAGATCAACGACAGATTCAATGAAGAGGAATAATCAAATAATTGGTCTACCAGAGCAGAACACACTACACAAGTCAACAGCCAAGATAGTGAAGACATTTCTAGAAGAAAACTTTCCCACCTTAATGAGTGAGAACCAGGCACTCATAAAGTAAGCAGAAAGGGCACCAATTAGACTAAACCCCAAGAAGACCTCACCAAGACAGATAATAGTAAAAATATCCAACTTTGAGGAAAAAGATAAAATTTTAAGAGCAACGAGAGAAAGGAAGACAGTCACATACAAAGGAACTCAGGTGAGAATATGCTCAGACCTATCAGCAGACACCATGAAGAGGAGAAGAGAATGGAGCAAAATCTTGAAAAAGCTGAAAGAAAAAAAATGCCTCCCCCAAAATCCTTTACCCTGCCAAATTATCCATTAAGATAGACGGGGAGATAGGGATCTTCCAGGACAAGGAAAGACTCAAAGAGTATGCTGCAAGACACCGACCCTGCGGAAGATACTGGCTGACGCACTATGGCCAGAGGATCAACTTCCACCAAGCACAAGCAGGAGACCACCATTTGTCGCATCTCCATCCAGAAGCCAATGTGCCAACAACAGTTACCAAGCTAACGGCCTCAGAGGGAAAAGAAGACAAGATAGAAACTCCCCACACAAACACAGCACACTGATATGAAGGGAGGTAAGGAAACACCTAAAACGCAGGACATGGTATGGCAACAATGAATCCACAGATTGTGATAATAACTCTGAATTCCGGTGGACTCAATTCATACATTAAAGAAAAAGGCTGGAGGACTGGCTTAGAAATTATAATCCAACAATCTGTTGCCTGCAAGAGATGCATCTTAAGTGCACAGACAAAAATAAACTAAGAATAAAAGGCTGGCAGAAAGTATACCAGGCAAATGCGACTTAAAAAAAAGCAGGAGTAGCAATCTTATTCTCTGACAAAATGGACCTTAAGTTTCAAACCATAGAAAGAGACGAGGGCCACAATATAATGCTCAAAGGATCAGTAAACTAGGAAACAGCATATTGAATATTCACACACCCCAAGAATGGTGTGGCGACTTTCATTAAACAAACTATTAAAAAGATGAAAAAAGAAATC